TTGGTCACTTTTATTGGCCCTGCAGGGTCAGACACATGTCTCTTCTGCTCCCCACCCATTGGATACAACTAGTCACTCGGCCCTGTGCACCTGCAGGGGGACGGGTCAGTAGAGGGTTGCTCATACCTAGCCAGTGTGTGCCTCTGCATGTGGAAGGCTCAGACTCTGAGACTGGTTCCCTGAGTCTGTGATTAGGAAGAGTGAGTCCCAACACTCGCTGAAGACCTGGAAGGGACAGAGCGCTACCAACAAGATGGCTTCTGAGAACCAGGTCAAATCACACCACAGCACCCTTGAACTTCAGCTCTAAGATCCACCCTGAGAACCAAAACTGTGGATACTCAGGCCCTCTGTACACAACAGTAGAGGGAAAAAATGGACACTGTAGCTCACACCTGTAATCCTAGCAGTCAGGAGACCGAGTTCCAGGTGAGCTGGAGTCACAGAGTGAGGTCCTTTCTCCAAAACCTAAGAAAGTCTCCCATGATCCTTGTGTGCCTTGGTACACATGTAAAGGTCAGAGAACAATGTTCTGAAGATAGCTCCTTCTGGGTCCCAGGGGTGAGCTCAGCTTCACCAACTAGCATCTTTATCATGTGAGCCATCTTGCCAGTCCCAGATGTAATTTTTAAAATTTATCGCATGTATAATGAATGTATAAAATTATTGTACTCTAATGTGTGCATGTTCGTGCGCATGTGGGTGTGAACATTCCACAGTGTGTGTGTAGAGATCAGAGGGCAACTTCTGGGAGTTAGCTCCCATCAGGCTTTCTGAGCAAGTGTTTCTACCCTGCTGAACCATCTTGCTGGCCTCCAGACTCAGTTGTTTTTTTTCCCTGAATCTTTGATCTGTGGTTGAACTCGCAGATGTGCCAGCCAGGGATATGGAAAGTGGACTGTATTTATCAGAAAAAGGATGGGGATCACACAGCCTTTGCCCATGTGACATCTAAGACACGTGAGGCAGGGTCTTCAGTCTGCAGTTTCTGGTCCTATGGGATCTGCAAGGCCACTCATCACCAGCACCAAGACCATTTGGATCCCCGGTTGAGTTGCTTTGATGTTTTCATTTTGATAAGGTATCGACAGTCACTCAATAGAGGACTAGCTCCTAATTTGAAGTGACTGATGATTAGATAAACCATGAAGACAAAAATCTTTCAAGAGATTAGGCCCTTAAAAGCTTTCTGTCGGATGCAGAAGACAGAGTGACTCTTGGGGTCTCTCCCTCTGGCTTCAGAGGAAGGTGGCTCAATGTACTTGTATCTCTTCTTCAGGGACAGCTCAGGGTCACTGCACATAAAGAGGGCTTGGAGGAAGAAACAGAGAGAAGCAGTGGCTAGGAGCTGGACAGCCAATTCCGTTGTTAATGCATTTGCCTTTGGATTCAGGAGAACCTGAGTTCTGTGGCCAGGACCCAGGTTAAAAAGCCAGAGGTGGCATTGTAATCTCAGTGCTGGAGAAGTGGAGACAGGCAGGTTTGGGGGCTAGGTGGTCCGTCAGCTTAGCTAACTTGGTGAGGTCCAAGCCACTGTGAGACTATGTTTCAACAAAACAAAACAAAATAAAAAACTAAACCAAACCATATCAACAAAAATCCCATAATGGAGGCAGCTTGAAGAATTTATACCTAATCGGGTCTGGAGAGATGACTCAGTGGTCAAGAGCGCTGACTTCTCTTCCAGAGGACCCGGGTTCTATTCCCAGCACCCACATGGCAGCTCACAACTGTCTGGAGATCCAGTTGCAGGGAATCTGACACCTTCACACCAATGCACATAAAATAAATAAACCATAAAAATATCTAAAAAAAGAATTTATGCCTAAAGTTAATCTCCAGCTGCCACATGCATACATATGCACGCACGTGTGGGTTAAGTCATTGGATGTTCATGGAAAAAGGCAGCATTCTGTGAAGATGGATTATAGCTACTGCACGTCGATCTTAAATGTCTCACCCTGAAGACCAGGTATCAAAAGCTTGGTTCCTGGTTCCCAGCCCATGGTGCCATTGGAGGGAGGGAGGGGTTGAAACTTTAGGTAGTTAATCCTAGTGGGAGGAAGTTAGGTCATGGTGGGACATGCCATTGAAGGGAATCTCAACCCCATCTCTTTCTTGATGTCCCACAACGACAATGAGGTCAGGAGCAATGGAGCCAACTGACCATGGGCTGAACCCTCTGAAACTTCTTCTAAGTGTTCCTTCTTAACACTTGTTTATATCTGGTATTTTGTCAGAGTGACAGAAAGCAGGAGCATCTAGCTCCATCCTGGATTATAGAAGGTGTCTTTCTGTTATAGAAGCTTCTCTCTGCGGAGAAGTTTCATTGGGACTTCGACATCTTGACAAAATTGTCTCTGTCTTTCCTTAGAGAAAGAGAAAGTGCCTGTAAAGTTAAGCCCCACACTTGTTCAGAAGTGATGCTGAGCCTGTGTCTCTCAGGCAAAGATTCCTGTCCATTATCACCGCTGCTGTTGACCCTTCACCTGTCTGACTCAGCCAGGAAGCAGATGTGACAAACACCAACTAACTGGTGCCAAAGACCTGATGGCGATATCACAGGAAGGGCCACCCGACAGAAGACAGCGGTTAACAGTCCTAGGAAATCCATCCATGGGGTTCTAAAAAGGGTTCTTACTTGGGCTGCACTCTCGGAGGTTCTGACCTCACTGGTGTCGGGTGGGACCCCAAGCTTGGGTGTCTGCAAAGTCCCTGGTGTGTCCTAAGAAAGCCAGGGCTGAGACCATTGAGAAGCCGAGCCTTGTGCCTGGAACTCTCAAGGACAACAGCTGGAGGACGTTTGGGGACATTTCACTGTGGAAGAAAGAAGCGGCTGCAGGCACCTCTCACTGAATGGACCTCATTTCTAGGGACAGCTACTGCAAATGTTCAAAACTGCAGTCAGCCCTGGTCCCACCAGGAAGGAAATTTGGTGATGGGGAGACAAGGGGATGAATGCTTGAGGGGGTCCCTCTGTAAGCTGACCCTCTGCTTGTTCCAAAAGTCTGACGTACAGGTCCTATGGGCAGACAGCTAACATCTGACTCACACTTGCCAGTGTTCATGCATTGTTTCCAGTGCTGCTATCAAGGGATGGGTTTTCAGACACTGAGTATGGGGTAGGAGTGATATTTTTAAAAAAATTAACTGACTTAAAGAAATAATAATAATCATACTCATCATTAGTGAACAGTGACCCTGATACCAGACTTACCCGTGTATTTTTTTTTATGCAAGTTAACTTAGGACAGTCTAAATCAAGCAGATATGAACTGGTGGGTCCTCCGCTGCTCCCTTTTCTTGTAGATTCTTCTGGAATTTGTATCTAGGGCTGATTTGTTTATTGGTAGATTCTGTGGCTGGCTTGCTTATCCACTAATACCCGTTTGCCCTTCCTAGCTTCCCGCGTAAGTATGTCATGCAACAGGACTCTGTCCAAGAGGAAGAGGGAAGTCCATCGTTTTCCACAGCCAGTTCTCTCTGAGCAAGTTAGCTGTAGGAAAAGCAAGTGCCCGCTGCAGAACCTTGACGTATACTGCACAAAGAGAAAACCAAAGCCACCTTGAAAGCCAAAGCAAAAAGATGCCTGGATCCCGAACCATCCCTCAACTGGGGGACCCTCACATCCAGGCTTCTATAAGCGGATGAGGTTTGAAATCCTTACTTGTTGATGTCCCTGTAGTTCGGGATTTTATAATAAGCTGTAGCCAAATGTGTTCTTAATGCGTGCCTTTCCCTCCATGCTCCTCTGGAATGGCTTGGATTTTAAGGTTTCCCTAAGTTCCTACGGTAGAGGCTTGGTCCTCAGGCTGTGATGCCACTGGGAGACAGTGGAGCCGTAGGGAGCTGGACCATAGAGGAAAGAGGCCAGGTCACGAAGAGCAGACATTGGGACCCCCGACCCCTCCCTCTCATTCCTGGTGAGTATGAAGTGACCAGTTTTCCTCTGCCACACAGTTCCCTCCCTGGTGGTGCTTGATGTCTTAGTCTACTGAAGATAGCTCAACCTCTTCGGCCTGGCTAATTCCTACCTGCCTTTAGATCTCTCCTTAGAAGCCACCTCCTCCAAGTAGCCCTCCTGGAAATCCCTATGCCTATGCCCAAGGAGGCATTCCCTCTTGTGAGTTTCATTGCCTTCCCCCGCTCAGTACCGGAGTCGGAGTCTCCGACAGCGAAAGCTCGACAGCTCATCTATAATCCTGGAAGAGGCGGAAGAGGCGGGGTGTGCCTTTGTCAGCTCTGTGCTGTCTTCAATACCCTGGGGACATGACAACTCTCACTGAAGACTCAACGCAGTGTGCTCATCAGCTGTCCCGGATGTGCTTACTGCTAAGCTAAGTGCTAAGTGACTAAGCTAGTGCTTAGCCGGTGGCAGCTGCAGCTTTCCTTGAGGCCTCGGTGGCTGAGATGTCGACCACCCAACATGGTCTCCAAGATGCCCTCTCGGGTTAAGAATGGCTGATTTCCAATGTTAGCAGTTAAGCATGTCGAGACGGCCTCAGGGCCCAGGCAGTTTCTGGGCAAAATGTTTGAACTATGAATTAGCCACAGGTCAATACTTGAATGGTGTTCGAGAGGGGCTGGTGGGGGCAGAGAGGAGGGGCAGGGCAGAGAGTTTTAGGCAGGAAAAGAACAGAAGACAGAATTTCAGGCTGCACCCCTGCAGGGCATCTCACACCCATCTGGGCAAACAGTTCTCTCCAGTAAGATCAAGAGACAGAGTTCCAGAAAAGTCTATGAGATGAGCTGGAGAGATGGCCCAGCCGATAAGGTGATTGCCGCCCAAGCAGCAGGAGGACCTGAGTTTATAACACCCAGAACCTCTTCTCTCTCACGCTCTTGTTCATACACACACACACACACACACACACACACACACACACACGGATTGGGGGGAGGGAAGGGAGGGAGCAACTGAAGTAAAGCAACTGAGCTGGTACAGGCTCAGGCACCAAAGCCCACACACACAGTCCAGAGGTTTCCACAAATTCCTTTATTGATACAGCAAAAAAAAAAAAAATGGGAAAGAACAAGGTCTGCTAGTGACCCACAGGATCGAAAAGTGCAAATGTACTCCAACTTCAAACAAAGATGGGAGTGACAGGCCTTGACCACTGGGGCCATGAACCGCGTGATTAAGACGTCCTTAACCACACAGTTGTGATAGCAGTCAACCAGGTCTGATTAACTCTTTGGTCTCTTTTATTGGAACAAACTTGGGCTGTAACGGAGACCCTCAAAGTATATCCCAATGTGTGGTTTGGGGTCAGAAGGCACGTTAAAAAGCTGCCCGTGCTGGAATGCTTCAAATCAAGTGACTAAGACAAGGAAACTTTTTTATTCCCCAAAAGGTGATAAAATAGTCCTAAATATCCAATACTGCCAGAGGCAGATTCCATACCAGTTAGTTGCAGGTCTTCACCAATTCTCTCCGTCTACATGATCCGGAATTTGCTACCCTTTCTTGACTTCTGCTAGCATTATCCCCACCCCCACCGTGTGCCGTAAAAAAAAAAATAAGGAGATATGTTACGGACACGCAATTAAAGACAAAGAAGCTAACACACCACAACACAGGGGAAACACTGAGCGAGTTGCCCTCCTGAGGGATGTCAGAAATGTGGACAAACTTCATTCTCTCCACGTGGGAGGAACTTTTGTGTAGACGGGGAAAAGCCAGGAAGCCCAGTTCTGTGGAAACCGCAACTTCCTCTGGGAGGTGACAAAAGATGCTCAGCTGGTGGCAATTTTGGTGAGAGACACTGAGTCAGAAAGAGACGGAAATGCTGGGAGTAAAGCCCGCAGGATTCTTGGAGAGGCCGATAGTACAAAGCCATGGAATTTGGCCCAAAGATGGAACACGGGCTGTTTTGGTTGTTGTTTTGCTGGTGTTTAATGCCTTCAACCAACACTGTGAAGTCCCGGGCTAAGTTCAACCAAGGACAACAACCAAAGAAATTAATTTTCGGAAAGGAACCAAATACAAAGAAAGAATGTATCCCGCAATTCCGCCTCATTACTCATCCACAAACTCCAGCCAGGGAGAGAAGCTGACCCCAAATCACCAGCAAAGAAAATCCAGAAATAGCCCCAAGTGTTTTAGTTGAGATTCTGACTGGAGAGTCAGGCTTGCATGGGAACCCTACCAGAAACTGGGGATAAATGTTATCTGTAGCCTTGTTAATTTTTTCTGTTGTTATTCCTATAATAAAGCTTAACTCTCATTAAAGCAGAAATGAGCTAGCTAGCACACCTCCACGTATATATAACCATCATCTCCACGGCAAAGAATATAAATTTATATATACTCGGAGGAAAGGTTAACTGTGTAAGGCAAGGCGTCACAAACTGGTGGCCTCAGGTTCAACCAACTTTCTGCTCACTTGGTGGTTTTAGACATTTTAAATTATAGCTTAAATTAAAAACCAGTGAGCTTCAGTATTTTAATCTGAAATTAGCCCCACCTTTTCTTTGCCCTCTTTAAGGTAGGCACAGCCCCCGCCACCCTCCCCACCCTCATTTATTTTCCTGTCTTCCGGCTACTGAGTTTGTGATTCCTGGCTGGAAATAGCACATACCTAAAAACACACTTCTTCACCTAGAACACCCTCCCACCCTCGAGGGATCTTCATCTGTCTCCCTCCTCCCATTTCTCCCTTTCCCGTTCATCTTAAGTCCCCCTGTCCCCAATCCTCAGACAATATTTGCATCCACTCAAACTGTCCTCTCTTTCCATTCCAACTTCATTTTGCAAAACACATTCTCCCATCCCACGAACATTCCAGGAAGGCTCCGAGCCGGGCAGTGGGAGTCACTGAAGTGTCTGACTGTAAAAGGGCTGAGTCATCTTCCTCAAAACATCTTTGGGCACTGGCTAAACGACTCTTTAGTTTTTGGTAGAGCCATCTTCTATGAGAATATTGGCATATGTGACTCTCCAGTACCAAATATACACCAAAAATGTGTACACATCAAACAGAGGCTGTGCCGGTAGCTGTAACGAAAAAAAGAACTCAGCTGAACGCAGGGGCCTCGGGCAGCCACCGCAACGGCCGTATTATTGCATCTGTACACAGTACATGCTTCAGATCGCTAAACATTGATCAAAATTGATCGAAATCTCTTAAGTTTTGGTTGCCACATATCAAGAACAACTGTTCAGCATGGCACTTAAATAAAACATTAATATTTCTTTAATTCACAAGCACAATGCCCATTAATTTAATAATAATAATAATATAATAAAATTTAAAAGCTTTGAGGATGGATGAAATTTTGGTTAATTAACCAAAAAATAAAAAATAAAAATAACGGAAAAACCCTACAAGAAAGATATTTATATTTATGACAATAACCAGTTTTATACTTTAAAATATTATCACGATTAAAAAAAATCTAATAATTGGAAAATTGCCTCATTGTCCCCTACTCCAACTTAGTGACTACAGAGGAATCAACAGGCTGAGTATGGAAACGTGTAGTATACACACAGATGAACACACATACCACACACACACACATATTCATACACACAATCTTCCCTTGGCATTGACTTTTTTAAGTAATTAAAATAAAACCCACTGTGCAGTTTCTGTCCTTGCAAGAGGATGAAGGAACACCCCCTACATCCAATGCCGTACCTTATGACCAAATATTGGCCTCAAAAAAGTAGGAATGACCTTAGAGTATCAAGAGGAATGGTCTCCAAAACAACTCACTGAGACAGCTGTTCCTCTTTCAGTTGCAAAGGACACAGAAGCCAACATAGCTCTACCGAGAAGTTCCCTACAATCTATTCCCACTGATTGCCAACCGGGTGCTCTAAAGAAAGGGGGTTTGCAGAGTTTCCCTCCAGAAAGCTAAGACATTAAACAATGGCCTTATTCATGTGGCTATTTTCATCCTCTAACCTTCACTTTAAAGAGTCTACTTAAAAAAGAAAATCCCTAAGAATATTGCTGAGGTGGCCGCACTTCCCACTAGGAGAGAGGAAGGTGGAACATTCTAAACGTGAAGTGCCCTTTGGAGCTGTCAGGAAGCCGGGAGGTTGAGAGGCACAGGAGAATGGGCTCTTCCCAACTGCAAGATGCCCCCAGCCTGGGGAAGCTCATGGCCGAGAAGAGCAGAACACTATAAGGCCAGCTCCCTGACTTCTCCTTCAGCTCCTGTGGCCCACCTCTTCTGCCCACTGGTGAGAAATGGTAAGTCTCCAGGCACAGACTGCAAGCTACTATTTTACAGGTCATCCACAGAAGCAAGAGCTGGCCTCCAAGGCTCTGTAAGGTTATCTGGGCAATCAAGAACCTTCCAACCACTACCCCAACACAAGGCATCACCAAAGCCGAGCCCTAACTAGGCAACATGCCAAACATTTTCTCCCCACAGATCCTTAAATCTGAAACACGCCTGCAGTGCCGCTTGCTCAGAAACTTTGAAACAAAGGCGGGTTGTGTCCAGCTGACAGCAAGCCTCAGGCAGGATCTGTTTCAAGACTCGCGCTTCACACTTCTGCCAGACCTGTCTTAATTAAGGATCTTTTCCCTCTGCATTCTGCCCAGCTCAAATGAACAGGTGCTGAGTGTCCAATCTCCACCTGTGACCTGAAGAGTGTTGAATGGTGGCTAGCTGCTTCTCAGAGCTTTGGTCTTCCAGATAACTGCGTGGAGCCCTCGTTGAACAGTCCCTGCTTCCGGCCACCACAGAACAAGAGAACTGCTGGACATAGAGGGCCGCTTGCTCTGAAAGTCTCTAACCAGGTCTTAGCAAGGTCACTTAATTTATGGCAACTCCATTAATCTTGCTCAACAAACTTATGATTGCACCATTAAAAATACACAAATGCTCATGGGAATGGCTAAATTATTGCTCTGGAATGCTAACAGCTGGACTAGAATTTCAACTCCAGTTGTGGATAAGGGTCCCCCCCCCTTTTAAAAACAAAACTAGGGGCCCTGGATGTGCAGCTCTGTTGTGAAGTAGCTGCCTAGCAGACGCAAGACCCAGGAGTCCAACCCCGTAACTGAAACAAACATACAGCACCCCTCCAAAAACATGAACACCTAGTTGAGAACCTAGCATCTAACAAGTAGGCATGTCAAACATGATTGCTTCAAATAATTTGGGAGCAGAGATATGTGAGCATAAGACCACCCAGGACACTCTATTGGTCCTGCAGAAGATGCCACAGCTATCTTGGGTCATGGAGCCTAGGGCAGAACATTTATGCCCACCAAAGCCTTTGATATCCTCCAAATTTCCCTTTCTACAGCTCATCTCGGATTGAACTGCCACCCTCCCGATCCCATCCTGTGGGAAAGGGACATTGGTCAGGTGGAGTGTAATCCGGGTTCATGGTTTATCTTCAGGGAAGCCCTGGTTGCGTTGACTCCGGGGTAAGGGGCATCTGGCAAGGTAGCGGGGACCGCCGTAGGCCCGGAGAAGCTGGGGCAACCTTCGCCAGGTGGACAGCAACCGCGCTGCTGCGAGCTCCCGGGCATGCTGATCGAAGGGTGCCAGGAGGTCAACTGGAGAGGCCTCGCGCAGCACCTTGGGCAGGGGGCCCACCTCGGCGGCGGCCCCACCTGGACCCAGGACACAGTGAAAGAGGTCTCGGCGTCGCAGCAGGCAGTCCCTAAGGAACTTCACCAGCTTCTCCAAGCATTCACTCAGGTGTGCCTCGTCCCAGCTGTGCGTTGGACCGCCCTCCTTCAGAAGCACCGCCAGCAGCACCGTTTTCAGCACGTAGGAAGACAGGATGCGGCCCCAGTGGGTAGCTGCCACAGGGTCCAGCCCGCGGGCACCCAGATCTCGAAGAGCTTTAAGCAGCTGCAGGCACTTGAGGTAGCAGGCACCTGGAGGAGCCCGTTCCTGAAGCCAGCCCAGCAGTTTCTGCTCCTGGCGTGCTGTATTCACACCCCACAGTGCCTCAGCGCGCAGGCCACCCGGCAGCTCTGACAGGGCTCCGCTGGGCGAGGGTGGTGGTGGCGGTGCCACAAGGAAGACGCCATCGCCCAGATGGACAGCGGGGATGAGGCGCACGGCCATGGAAAGGCGACAGCAGCCATAGTCCGTGCGGCAAGGAAGGATGTGGAGGGTGGGCGGCTGCTCCAGACCACCTGGGGTCAGGCTAACTCTACAGCGACCCTCCAGGCTGTAGCGCACTGTGGCCAAGGAGCGCTGTAGGTGCGCCTGGAACCAGCGCAGCACCAGGGTGGCAGAGAGGTGGCGTCGGCCCTGCACATCCACACAGAACCCTTCAGCAAAGGGTTTGCAGTCGCGATGCCACTGTCCTGTCGAGGTCCCCGAAGGCGAGGGCGGTGCCTTGAGGGCACACACGAAGCAGCTGCGGAAGGCAGGAGCCAGCGTGGGCTCGGTCCCCAGGTTCCGCGGCTCCAGAGCCACCTGCGGCGGGAAGCGCAGTGGCACCAGCACGTCGAAGCTGTCTGGCCGGCGGATTTTATGCTGCTCGTAGGCGCTGCCCACCTGGATGAAATCTCCCCGGAAGGCCAAGGCTAGCGCTCCCCCGGTGATGGGGCCTGGAGACCCTCGGGCTCGGCCAGCCTGCACCAATTCACCCACGATCCGACTCACGTGTGCCTTGCTATGACCTAACACATGCGGCGACAGGCGCACCTCGTGCTCATAGTAACTCTCCAGTAAGATGCTCAGGCCTGGCTCTTGCAAGGATCTGGCTGAAAAGTTGGCGTGGCCACAAGGGCGGGAAGAGCCTGGCAAGAGGCGCTGGCGGATGGTGTGGCGACATCGTAGGAGGATGTAGCCGAGAAGAAGGAGGATGGCCACCTTGAGCAGCGGGAAGCCGCTGTCTACGCCGTCGGGGGGCTCGGCCCGGGCTCCCTCGGTGCTGCGCAGGGCATGGTAGAGGCACACCAGCGCCGTGCACAGCCCGGTCACCACCGGCCAGAAGACCTTCAGGTTGAGTGTGTACCGCACGGACATGCCGGGAGCCCGGGCGGCCCAGGGCGCGAGCCCGGGTGATGTCCCCTGTCCAGCATGCGCGCAGCGCCCCGGCGGCCCCGCGGCCCCCGTGTCCTTGGCCTTGGAGGCGGTTCCCGGCTCGCAGCGCCGGGACCAACAGCCCCACTGCTCTGCCTCCACTCCCAGCTCAAGTTCCCCTTCCAGGCGCCGCCCGTTCTGCACACTCCGGTCCCTGGCCGCGCCCTGTCCCCGTCCGGCTCAGTCCCTGTCGCGCTGCCCTCGACCAGCTTCTGCTCCGGACTCCTATCCTACCCTGAGCGGCCCTCCTGGCTCGGCAGCCGCTGCACACCGGGGCGATCGGCCGGGTTACTCGGGCCCCAGGATTTTCTTCGTTCGGAGGGGAAGGCCGCGCCGGGCAGCAGGGAGGAAATGCCTGAGTCTGGAGCCTTGCGGGGAGGGTGGCCCCCTCCCGGCCTCCGCCTGGATCGACGCCGGGTGGCCAGAGGGACTTCGGGACGTGCGGGAGACTGCCCTCCCAAGGGCTACTCCCGGGCCCCCTCTTGGAAGGCAGAACAGAGAAGGCCTGGTTCCGGGGCGGTGGCTGCATCGGATCCCGCAGTTACTGGGAAGTTGCCGGAGGAAGGCTTTCAGCCCCACCGCCCAGCCCTCCCTTCGCCGGCCCCACCCCCAGCGCGTCCCGCTGGCGGCGTGGCAGGCCCGGGGCGGAAGTTGCCCCTTGCAGTCTGAGGCTGTGCTTTCCTGCAAACTAACATTCGCTGAGCACCTACTATGCACTAGGCAGGAGCCTAAAAGCTGGGAATGCAGCTGACGGTGTGAACGAGGCTTTTCTGCCAGTCTTTCAAGCTTACAACCCTGTAAAAAGGGACTATGAACAGTAAGGTTGATGACCACCTCCGACCCCTATGCTGGGGTCATGAGTTCAAGGCCGCCCTGGGCTACACTTAGGCAGACCCTGTCCCCAAAACAAGACTCCACAGGCAGATGTTCTGAAAGGAAGCTGGCAGAAGGAGCACAGGGTGATATTTCAGGGGTCATCCCCCCAGTCCTGCCCTAACCATGCAGTAGCTGGGGGGGGGGGGCGTGGCTGAGGGGGATGGCGTTGGGCCTGAGACCTGGGAGAGCTGGAACGAGGAGATAATGATAGTTTTTACAGGGCTGGAGTCAGGCTTGATCCCCAGCCTCAGCACCTGAGTTTAATTTTGGAACCTACATAGAGGAGGTAGAGAGAGAGGTGCTCCCAGTTACCCTCTGAGCACCTCTCTCTCTCTCTCTCTCTCTCTCTCTCTCTCTCTCTCTCTCTCTTTGGAGGGGGGAAGGACTAATGCTTACATTTAGTCACACTTCACTTTAATGCTAATACATACTGATTAGACATTAGCACTAATATCTATTGCTAATGAATAACTAGTGCCTTCTCTGCATTTCCTATAGGAAAACTAGGGCCCTGGCAGGTTCCAAAGATTGCCTGAGGTCATGCCCTTTGTGGAACTGTGCCTTGAACTCAGGTGCATACATCTGGAAAAGCCAGAGGGCAGGATGCCCAGGGAAGAAGCTCATGGGTCCCTTTTTGTCCTCTGGGCTTTTTTTCCCCTGAGTCTGAGTCCTTCCAGAACTCTGTTGGGACCTAGAAAGTCTGTGTTTTTTCATAACGTGGCTACTCCCAGAAGCTATCTGAATTTATTTGAATAGTCATCTGTGTTTGTTCACACTTAAACACACCTTGCTGCTTTGTAAGGAGAGCAAGGGTGAATGCGTTAAAGCATATGAGAGCCCAGCCATGGTCAGGAACCAGGACAAAGGGTCCTCCTAGCATTAGGGTGCAGCGGGCTGCATCCTGCCACCCGGCTAGCTTTACACCCGAAATAATTACACGCAAACTGTATTCTTTTAAACACTGCTTGGTCCATTAGTTTCAGCCTCTTATTGGCTAACTCTCACATCTTGATTTACCCGGTCCATTAATCTGTGTAGCACCACAAGGTGGTGTCTTACCGGGAAGATTCTTAACCTGCGTCCATCTCGGAGAGGAGAGGTATAGCATCTGTCTCACTTCCCTTCTTTCCAGCATTCTGTTCTGTCTACTCCGCCTATCTAAGCTGCTGTCGTATCAAAGGCCAAGGCAGTTTCTTTATTAACCAATAAAAATAACACATAGACAGATGACCCACCTATATCACATGAGACTAGGAGAGTTTGATTGAACCAGTTCGTGCTAAGCAGAAGTGTGTGTGTGTGTGTGTGTGCGCGCACGCGCATGCATGTGCGTGAGCGTGCGTCTGTTCATCCACATGCATATATGAAGGCTATAAATCAACCTTGGCTGCTATTCCTTGAGTTCACCTTGGTCTTTGAGACAGGGTCTCTCTGGGGCCTGAAGTTGCTGATTCAGCTAGCCAATGAGCTCCAGAGATCAGATTGTTGACACCTGCCAGGTGCTGGGACTACAAGTGAGTGCCATCATGGCCAGCCTCCCCACAGTGGTTCTGGGGGTGGAACTAGGGTCTTCACCTTTGTAAGGCAAGTGTTTTATTGACCGAGTCATTTCCCCAGCCTCCAGACATGTATTGGATCCCATCTGGGCTGCTGGTCTTCAGTCCATGTTGGCATTCCAAAGAAGTAGGCTCTGCCATCAGTTGGGGAGTGCTCCACAGCAGAAACCAAGCAGGGATGACCTTGCCATCATGAGTGAAGGCAAATAGGCAAAAAGCAAACACTTTCCTCTTCCCTGTTCCTTTATTTGGGACGACACCACAATCTGAGGCCCGGATTTAGGGTGGATAGTCCCACTTCAAATGATCCAGTGAAGAAAATCCCTCGCAGAAGTGGCCAGCTGCTTGGGTTTTAGTTGGTGCCATATGTAGGCAAGATGACAACCAAGATTTGCCATCACACACCCACCCCTTGACAACCTGCTCCTCAGTCACATCCTTATGCCATGCATAATTCCCAAATGAAATCAATAACCAGGTCATAATTTTGCCAAACATGACATAACTAGGCACATACAATCACTAATGCATTATGTATTTTAGAATAGGTGGCAATGTCCCTTGAGGAATGCTTAGTTTTTTAGTGTCTCATGACCTAAACATGATAATAATCACTGATATTATCTCATCCTATATTATATGACAGAGAAATAAAAGAAAGTGAATGCTTAATGTATTTGTTCATATGCACAGACATTCTTAACAAAGGTACAACAGAAACACTCACGTCAATTATAATTCTCCTGTCTGCAGCTGGTCTCATGGTCTCGGCTGGTATTTATAACTTCCTCTCTCTGCTACCCGTTCTGTGTTTCCTCCACCCTCATCACCTCAGCAGATCTTGGCTCTTTTCCTAGAGGAATGACCCATACCTTCATTCCTAGGGAATGGTACCATATCTGGGGCTCAGTGCTGGTCTCTGTTGTCGGCAGATGGGGAACTCAGCAGCAGCTGTAGAGGGGTCAGTTTCGGTGAGTGGAAGTTGCAGAGAGCTTCATGCCTAACCTTCCTCTCTACCGTCACAGCGACTTTGTCCATGGGCCTCTTGGGTAATGACGGGCATGAAAAGAAGCTGACTGGACAAAATGAATATTAGATAAGAGGTTATAGACTAGCTAACAAGTCGAGAGGGACAGAAATACAGCTAGGCACGTTTTACGAAAAAACACACTGTATTGTCAGTGCAGTGAACCAAGCAGGGTGAACCCGCTTCAGATTCAGCTGACCCTAGGTCCCATAATTCCACATGTATCTGCTTTCCCTCTGCTTCTTAACTCTGATTTCTCCTAAACGGGCTATGCTTTGACAAGTCACCTCTATATGCCATGGCTAGCCTAGCCTCATGTTTCTTCTGGGTTCAGAGGGAAAGAGACTCTTGCTTTCTGAGCAGTTGTAACCAATGCTATCCTTGGGATAGTGTCAGTCACGTGTGAGCAGTGACCAGGTAAGAAAAGGCACTGATTGCCTTCCCCAGGCTTGTGCTCCCACCTCCAGAGTCTACGTGAAAGCCCAGCCTCCAAGATGACTGAATTTGAAGAAAGGCTTTTGGGGAGTTCACTAAGGTTAAATAAGGCAAAGACAGGGCCCCCATCTGATAGGGTCTGTGGCCTTGTGAGGAGACATGGATGCCTGGCTGTACACATTCACCAAGGAAAGATCATGAGGACCCAGGGAGAGGTGTCCATTTTCAAGCCGGGGAAGCAGCCCCCCTCAGAAGCCACAGCCTGGCAGAACTCCATCCTTCACCTCCCAGCCTCCAGATTCAGGCGCAGATAAAGTCCCATTGTTAAAGTCACTCCACCTGTGGCATTTGCAGTCAGTCCAAGCTGACTAACACACTGGGTACCCAGCCCTGGGAACAGGACGCAGGGTCACTGTGGCAGGGTGTGTTCCCCCAGAGAAAGTCACAGTGCTGAAGGAGGAGGGTGGGGCAGAGCAGAGGCTGCCCCGTTTATGTCTTAACCTTGCTTGGCTCTGCTCACTGCATCTCTAGGGTAGGGAGGGTTGTGACACCTACTGGGTGGTTAACTCCCCCCACTAGATACAGTGGCACGCCATCTCCTACCACCCAAATAATGGCAACCCTGTAGAACAAAGGTCAGCAAACACTTCTGTGAGGACCCACCCTGTGGGTAGGTTCAGATCGTGAGCCTGACCTCCACAACTGCTCAGGTCTGCTCAGCAGCCCCAGCGAAGCTCTGCTCACTTCCTGGGGCCCCCCAGAACAAAGCTGTACAAAAGAGTGGCTTAAACATGAAACTACCAGGCCTGGGGGCACCTGCCCATAATCCTGATACTCAGAAAGCTGAGATAGGAGGATCATAAGCTTAGGGCCAGCCTGGGCTACATAGTGAACTCCTGTCTCAAAAATACCAGAAAGACAAAATTTCTTCACAGTTCTAGAGGTTTCTATAGCAAAACCACGTGACTGACAGACTCTTCCTCCTCCTAAAGGCCCAGAATCAAGCCTGTCCTAATTTCTCCTGGAAGTCCTTAGCATTCCTTAGCCCA